GTTTTTAATTTGGCTCGGGGGCAGCRGCAGCACAAAGTCATTATCATATGATAGCGCTGCTTTCTCCCGCGTGAGATGAACTGGTGGTCTCGCTCTGCTCCTCGTGGGTGGACACGTCTGCTCTGCGAGGCCTTCCGGCGTTCCCCATTCCCGACGGCGGCTGTGTCCTGAAGCCAGGGTCACCCTGGGGAAAGGAGCAGAGCTGCCTTCCCGCGCGGCAGGGGCTCCCGAGGCCGCACAAAATGAGGACGCAGCACCTCACTGCTGCCCACGGTCTCTTCAACCCCTTTGACAAGGATCAATTCTTAAAACAGAGGACAGGAAAGCAGCAGCATTTGCTCAGTTTAACAACCCCCGACTTCCAGCTCCCTGGGTCAGTGCCAAAAGTAGCCTGAAGCCCTTCAGAGAAGCCCCCAGCAYGTGGTTAACCATGGAGTTAGGTAATCAGCAATGTCCACCAGCAACCCATTCAGTTTCACCAATTCCATCATTCTCTGGCAGTTTATTGTTATTTTTATTCACTTGCTGGCAGTAAATCTACTCCTGTCCAATACATTCCTTATTGGGTTTTTGCTGTTATTATTTGCAATTTGCTAGTGCCTAGAGGTCACAGACAAGATTATGGGCTTGTTGTGATAGGTGCTCACAAGCTATTAATAAGAGACAGTTCCTGCCCTGATGATCTTGTAATTTAAATAGACAAGCCTGACAGAGGTGACGGGAAGGATAGCGCATTATCCTCGTTCCACAGATGGGAAGCATCGGAACAAAAAGACGAGCAGCAGGACTTTGTGAGGCCCCGAGCTCCTGTCGCTCCTTTTGAAGTCAGCCGAGGGTTGCAGGGCTCCAAAGCTTCTGAGGAAAAAAAAAAAACAACAAAAAGGGGCCAATGTCGTACAACCGGGCTCCAGTTTTTGGGTCTCAGCCTAACCTCGTGTGTTTGAAAACTTGCAGAGAAAATGTAGAAGAGCTGAAAAATCCCTTTCCCTTAAAAGCACTGCTGTCTGTTGCAGCAGGATTTGAACTCATTTCAGATTCTCAAGCTCCCTGCTCCAGGGTTCAGGGAGAGAAGGCAAAGGGAGTAGAAGTTCAAGGTTTAAGGTCTTGCTTTTTTGAAATTTCTGTCTTCCTTGGCCCAGAGAAATTTCTGTCACGGTCCTACAACCTGCAGAAGCAGAATCCTATTTACAGTGGAGACCCTCTTCAGCCTTTCCAGAGATGTTAGGACTACCACATGGTGGAAAGACACCGGTCCACCGGCTCTATCTCCTTTGCCAGGGATGTCTCCTCAAGGAGAGAGAACAAAGACCAAGACAAGCAGCCAGTCTTCTAAATTTGGTACCAAGACCACAAGACCAGCTCTGTTCTCTCATCTGAAAAGAGGTTAAGGAGCTGTCAAATAGACCTTGGGAAACCCTGTTCATTTGTGTATCAGTGCAGACTCCCAAGCACCTTTGAGCCGAGCATTTCTGCCTTGTTTCACCTTTGTATCTACGTTTGAATGAAAGGATAAAAGTGAGYATCCTCTGAGCTTTTAACATGAGAAAGCAGCAGGCAATACGCTTGAAAATACGAGGAAATCTTGAAAGCAGCCATGGAGCCCTATGGTCTCCGTAACCGGCACACAGGTGACCTTCCTGAGACTGCAGAAACCCCTAAACCTGATTGTTGTACATGCTTTAGTTTACTAAGTCATTCACAGTGTTCGTTAGCTACCTGTGATTAACCAGAAGACATAAATCAAACGCTTCGTGGATGGAATACATGGAAGCRACGGGCAGAGTCTATTCGTCACAAAAGTGCAAAAGCAACTATTGGAAAACAAAAGCAAAACCAAAAATTCGTCCGGTAGACTGGTAATTTATCTTATCTGTTAACCTTTTCCTCCCTTTCCTGAAATAACAAGTGAAGGAAATTTCAGTTGCAACCGCTCTGGGGGCAGACAGCAGAAACTTGACTGAGGTGCTATTTTGAAATACATTAACTGGGAGCAATTGAAAGGAAAGTGAGAACTTCCATGCTTGGAGTCTACGATGTCTCATTTTTTTCATACACATGAAAGGTGGCCATCAATGTATCCCAGAATGCAGTCATCTGTCTTGGAAAAAAAAAATAAAAAGCCAAACAACATTTGGATATTGTAGTTTTCACAGGCATCTGGAAGCACAAAAATTTGCTCCAATCATAACAGCAGAAGTCTCCAAGTTAAGGAAAGAACAATTTCCCTCCAGCTTAAGGGGAAAATAAATTTCAGGTCAATGGAAACATGTCATTGGTCTTTTCAGATTTTGTATTATTTCGTAATATATAAAAAGATCAAATGAAGTATTTTGAAACTAAAATGGATCCTGAAAGAAGAAATTGAAACATTTAGCTTGGAAATGTCAAAACGAGATGTTCCCACACTGTTAGAACATCCCTCTACCACTTACTCTTTTTTAAATGGCATTTTCGGTGAAGCCGACACAACTTTGCAAAGTGTTTTGCTTTTGACAGAGTAGTATTTTCCAATGGAAAGCTGTTCTTTCCGTGGTTTTCCAACCAGCTCCACCAGGAGCAGGTGTCACAAGATCCCAACAACCTTTGCCGAGTGGGTATATTAAAAAGAAGATCCTGGGCACGTGGCTAGGGAATAGAGGGCACGAGGGCTCAAGGACTGCGCTGCTGCAGAGAAGGGTGAGAGGCTGGTGCTTAAATCACCTCTGGCCACCAATAAATACGTCTTGCCGCCCATACTGCTGCGGCGCCTGTGGGCTGAACTGGCAGTAGCAACTGCGGGGGATTTCAGGGGGAAAAAAAAATCCTTAGTGTGTGGGCATGGCTACATATTCCAACACTGCAATTTCCCTCTCCACCATCCGAGTTTAGAAGTGACAGAAAGAAGGATTACCCTGCTTTTGGAGTAAATCCCAGCTCGGGATGGGCATCTTTAACAAGCCATGAATATGGAGGTGGAATGAGCAGCAAGTAACGCACGCCCTTAAATTCTCTTTGCGGGCGGATTTCAGTCTGGCCATGGCCACTGGATGCGACTTGCCTTTGCAGGGGAGACGCGTCCCTCYGAGCATGCGGAAGGCAGGCATAACCTAATAAGTTCACATTAAAGGGAAAAGTACAAAACCCTTTCAAAGGCAAAGAATCAACTGGGAATTCGTAGTCCTCGGAGGAGGAAGAGCCCGTACTTTTGGCAATGTAAAGCCAAAGAGAAATCTGCTCTGATTTACTGCAGTGTTAAATAAAGCTCCTTTTACACACCAGCACTTCTGAATTACCAAACGTGCTGCCTTATTCCAGAAACTTGAGTTGGGCACAAATGAGTTCGCCTTTCTTCTCTCCCACTTCCCTCACAGGAACGCCACTTGCAAATATTTCCTTTCTTGTTAATTTAATGATTATCATCAGAAAGAGCCAGCAGTGGGGGAGAAGAAGAAAAAAAGGAAAAAAAAAAAGGAAAAGAACAAGACAAAAAGCGGTAATTACAATCCAGAGAGCTCGGCAGGGGCCGGGTGCCAGGGAACGTGGCCTGCCCGTCGCCAGCTCCGTGCTCCGCGGAAATGGGCCCTCCGCTCCRGGTGCCTCCAGCCTGGGGGTGCAGCCGGAGAGGGCCTGGATTGGGGAAGTGTCCTTGAGAAATGGGGCAGTTGCACGCCGTGGATGCTGAGCGCCTCCTTGGGAAGCGCTGAGCGGGGACCCCTCTGCTCAGCACCAGGACGGGGGCAGACCGGGCACCCGGCAGCTCCGCAGGTGGGATGGCCAGCGCCTTCCCACGCCAAGTCAAATGGTGGATACGGATCCCCGTGCCGCACTCACACCCGTGGGGAGCCGCACACCCACCCACCCACGCACCCACGGCAGGGCCGGGCCCGGGGGCCAGGCCGGCGGGACGCGCTACCCCCGCGCTGCCCCCGAGGGCGCCG